ACTTTGAATGCTCTTTCAACAAATAATCCATTTAATGGTTAAATTTTACAATTGGGACCCTTCTTTTGCCTCTAAAAGCTCATTTTAGAATTATAGATTCCTCCATCACGATACTATCAATAGTGTGGGCGCCGCCATCTTTCTTTCACTGTTGTTCCTAAATGCCTACAAACAGTAGCGCACTCCCATTGCAGAGTGACAGCTATTAACGAACGCACCCAAAGACTGTTACCAGTTGATGATGCTTATGCTGAGATCATCATATAGGATGAATAATCCTCTGGTAAAATATTTACTTAAATAATAAATAAGTATTTTACCTATGATAAAAATGAATAATAAATCCGATTTAAATTTAAGGATTTAACAGCATGTTTTTTAAATTTTGGAACCTAACCCCCTTTTCTCATTAGTTCTTTGTTTCGTATAACACGGATTCGCATAACATGGCAAATTTTTGGAACGTAACTCCCGTATTATATGGGGGTTACTTGGGGGTTATTTACAAGTATGTACTGTAAATACAGTACATACTTGTAAATATATATATTTTAATATGATTTTATGTGCTTTAAACGCTTTTCTAGTGATATTACGACTTCAATATTTATGGCAGACAGACGTAAAGTCAAATAAAGTGACTTAAACTTGACTTTTACTTTTCCATATACTTTTTTGACAAACGACGTAAGTCAAGGTATACCTGTAAAATGAAGCAAATCGGGAAAAATTAGAAACTCCAAATAATGAAAGACTGATAATGCCAAAGAACAAGGAGAGTTATATCAGTAAACAAACATCTAACATATAAATATTAATATATAACATCATAAACAAAAAATACATGTCTAAAGCCAAACCAGTAGGTTCAGATCATACTTGTTATGTCCTAGATTGGATTCAAACCCATATTTTTGATAATAGTACTTTGAAATATATATCAAATATTTTAAGGCTTTTTATAATTATTTTATCAGTATTTCTATGAGAATTGATGACGAAGAAGTCAGCCATCTCAGACTTCCCAAAGGAATTAGAGATATTGAAGCAACAAGTGAAGGCAGATTATATTTTGGAGGAATTCCACCAGATTTTGAGGTTGATTCAGACATATCATCACGACCACGTTTCCATGGAACCATTAAAGATGCCATTTTTAATGACAAGTTAGTTGTGTACAGAATTGTTATAACTTGTTATATCATATTTATTTATTTAATTTATGTTTTATTTTGTAGATTATTAAATTTTAATGAACCATTGAGATTCGAAGGAGTAGGGATTGGGCGTACCAGTTCAACAGCACTGAATTCACAATTTCTGTTAGCACATCCAACTGAAAGCTGTGCTAAAAACATACCACACAATATAGAAAAGAAAGCTGTAAATTTTGGTGGTTCGTCAAAAGGATTTGTACATGTAAATTTAGCAAAAAGAGAGATTTCTCGGGAGTAAGTAAATTTTTGAATGTAGTCATTCAACTTTTAAAATATGTTTTTGATTTTGTGTGTTTTTAGTTTTACATTAGGTTTTGATTTTCGCACATATGAAAACTATGGATTGATATTGTTGCTCCAAAATACCAAAAGAAAACATCATTTTGCGATAATGATTGAAAAGAATCACTTGGTAGTAGATTTATTAACAAAACAAGATAAAATCAAACTTCAACTAGTAGGAATAGTTAATGATGGAAATTGGCATAGTGTTGGTACATCTTTACTTTAATTTATATCAAATTTAATTAAATTTTAATCTATTTTTAAATCATTTAAATGTATAGGTTGCAGTTAGGAAAAGCAAAAGACAAATGTGGATTGTATTGGATGGCAGAGAGAAGGAAGTAGAAGTTAATCGTCGGTTCAATTTTAAGAACATCCTACATATTGGAAATGTAAAGAATGCAGTGCTCAGCAAGCAATTGGTAATTTATTTATTATTAGTCATGGTGATGCATAACATTGCTCTTAATCTAGTGTTTTTTCCTTCAAACAACAATACCTATTAACTTGCAACAATTTCAAACATGAGATTTAAATCCTCAATCTTATAAACTTTTTAACTATTTTTTTTTTAATCTCAAAAACTTTTTTCATATGTATAATGAAGCACTGAACAGTGAAAGATCAAACTTAAACCTAGTATCCTCAGATGGTTGCAAATTGACATTTTTACTATCTGGCTTTCTTACATACAACTTTTAACTAGAAACAATGTCTGTTAAATTGTTCTTTCTAGTTTTCCAACAACTCTTAATCTAATCCATGAGGAGAATGGACACCAACATATACATTCAAACCACCTGTAAACATTTGAGACATGATTTACTGCCTTGTACAGTACATTCAAATTTTATTCTTAATGTTGTACCATTGTTTCTATTGTTGGTATAGTAAAGTGCAGTACAATAATGTAGAATTCATTGTAAATTACAATATGTTATAATATTTAAAAATTATGATATTTTTACTATATTAGTCTGACTGTACTGTACATCTAATGAGTTTTGTATAATTTGCTGTTATGAACTAAGTATAATTAACAAATATGTATATGTTAATAATATTACAAACTAAATTTGCAGGTTAAAGAGAAATTTCAAGGATGTATAAGAAATTTACATGTTAATGAGAAATACAGAGAAATTCCTGAAGATCCTACATATGGAACGAGTCCTTGTATTTCTTCTGTTGAGCAGGGAGCATACTTTAATGATGGTGCTTATGCTGTATTTGGTAAGTACGGTAGACCTTCTATAAAACGGGTTCATGTAGTTCGGATTCCTATATAATGGCGAAAAAATTGCTACCATATTTGTATAAACACGCTAAAAGAAACTCGTATAATTCAGTAAAATGTCATTGCCGACTCGTGTGGCAACAGGATTGGTCAAATCTAGACCAATAGCGAATATTGCACAAACTGTTGAGTTTAAACAAGCAGCGGACCTACTAAAAACCAATTATTATTTAATGGCCATAAAAATTATACAGTAGAACCTCTATTATCCGGACCTCCATTATCCGGATTTTCGATTATCCGGATTGTTTACAATAAACAAAAATTTTACGAATTTGCTGATTTGCACTTGGCGAATTACGACACTGTTTATGTACGTGATGGAATGCATAACTTTTTTTCTTTCAACAATGTCTCACCCGGCACAGTGGTCGTAAACTCTTAAATATATTTTACGTAGTAATAAAAATATAACTTGACATACGTATTTATAAATAATTTACATTCAAATTACATCATTTCTATGACCAAGGGCGGTGTAAGGCATGGACGACGTGGGCCACTGCCTATATCTCATGGTCCGAAGGGCCTCGCGCCTCGAAGGTTTATGCATTACTTAAAAGCCGTGAACGCGACGAAAAAATTTTACACGTCATAAAACGATAAACAGTTTGTCAAATTTTTATTCATAAAAATGCAGTTTCAACTGCTTTTTATTTTATAAAATCCGTGTTCTTGCGCCAACAGAGGGCCTTTTAAACAATAGGTAGTCTGTTAGCGTTGGTCAGTGGTAGTCTAAATTCAATACGAACGTTTGTTTCTTGAAAATTTGATCACGATTTAAATACAGTATTTACTTTTAATATTACCGATATGTCACCGAAAAGAAAACGTGTAGTATTATCATTAAAAGACAAATTAAAGTATTTGTTTCGATTATCCGGATTTTTCCTTATCCGGACTACCTTCATCCCCAATTAGTCTGGATAATCGAGGCTCTACTGTATTTATATTAATGATGTCTCCAAAGTTCAGCAAAGTTTTCACAGAAAAATAATTTATCAGGAAGCACGCGAGCGCCATTCGATGCACCGCTCCACGACGAAAACAAGCTTAAGCAATGGCGTCGTCGAACGGTGCACACTCGGTAAGTAATCCTACAATTTTTTGTTTATAGCATAGTTTATATGGATTATTCCCAAAAAAAAAATTATGCGTATTTTGGAAATGCTGAGTTGAACTAGTCTAGAATTGATTAATTTTATGGAAGAAACCTTTCAAACAGCCATAGTCTGTACACTGCATATGTGCTGGGCTGTGATTGGCTCATGTATTTAAGGACTTGTAGAAAATGGATTTCATAAAAATCAGAACGTATCTACCGTGTTATAGGGGGGGGGGGTCGACTGTAAATGTTAAAATATCCACCAAACACCAAAAGTCCAGTTTGAAAATGTAAAGTTAATGAAAAANGGTGTGCATGTTTTAGTTGTCAGCACTGGTGCAACCGTGAGAGGGTACTTAAGGACATGCCAGGATTTTAACGAATTTCAACATGGGATAGGTTAATATATTTTTTCACACATAATCGGTTATCCTAAAAATTGATTTTCCGAACAACCCCAGTCCCCAACTGATTCGAATAATCAATGCTCTACTGTAGTTATAAATTAAAACATCCATCAACAATCAAGAAACAGATATCTTCATTATTTTTTAACACCATTTTAAATCATTTAATAAAAAAATATTGCATTAATAAATGCAAATAAACAGGCTATTAAAATAATTTATGAGAATTACTTAAGAATATGGATAAATATGGATGATATTTTTATATAAATATCATCCATGGGGTTGTTTTATATATATATATAAAGATGATGATGATGAAAAGTTTGAGCAATTAAGTGCTTTATTTTTCTTATCTTTTTTAATTGAAAAACTTTTCTGTAGAATATTCTAGTAATAATGAGTGATTAACTGAATATCTTCAAACATACAAAGTGGAGTCATAAAATGAGAAAAGATGCTCTAGAATTTTCTTCATATTATTCACTTTTAATTAAAATATATATACCTTTCACTTGATTTCCTGTATTGCACAAATGATAAATGAAACAAATTGAACTGTAAGACAATCTAATAATTTTGTTTTGCAATTTAGTAATTTTTAAAATAAGTTTTTCTATGAATCTTTAGAATTATAAGACAACATACTTGTTTTCCATATTTATCCTGCCATTCATAGAGTTCTAAATCATTTCGTACAACAGATAATCTTCCAGGACTTCTTGAAAATCTTGTATGAGACACTACTTCTTCACCAAGTCCCCCTTCTCTATCACCTGGAATGTCTGAATCATCGGAACTATCTTCCTAATTAAAATAAAGAAAAACTTACAAAATAAACAACAAAATTTTTACAGAACAGTTCACAAAAATATACAAGAACAGATTAAAAATTTATTTGAATTAAATCATAAAGCATAAAATTGTAAAAAAAATATTTGAATTGAAATTTAAATTCAAAAAATTATTTTGTT